CACACACACACACACACACACACACACACACACACACACACACACACTCTCTCTCCTTTTTACATAGTCAAATCTTGAAATGGGACTGTGGAGAAAAGTGTGTGTTTGTGTGTTTGTGTTGTTATGACTAAATGTGGTGTGGGACACACCCAGTATAGCAGAACATGTGTCAGACCATAAAACCTACATCTTTTATTGTCTGTCTGTGGACAGAATCCATCAACAGTTATCCAGCTGTTCAGGAACCTGAAAGGCTGAAATCAAAGATGGGTGTGTCTTCAGACAACTAATGCAGTTGTAATTACTGAGCACTCATGAGCTGAAACATCTGTGTGTTGACTGGTGTCCTAAGCTGACTGCAGTCATCATGTTTTACATAGTTTAACATAAAATAAACAACCCAAATTTGATTTAGTCAAATGACTGTGCTCTAAATGAAGATGCAGTAAGTTTATAACCCAATTCCAACAAAGTTGGATTGTTGTGACAAATATAAATAAAAACAATGATTTGCAAACCCATATTTTATTCACAATAGAACACAGTAAACTTGTCACATGTTTAACCTGGGATATCGTACCGTTGTTATGAAATAAGCTGATTTTGAATTTTATTGCAGCGACACTTATTAAAGAAGTTAAGACTGGGCAACAAAATGCTGTAAATGAAAGAGATCCAAATGAGAAACAGCTGGAGGAACATTATCTCTGTGAAGTAAAGATGAGCAGAGGTTCACCAGTCTGCAAATAAACTGGGTCTAAAAATGGAACAATTTCAGACTAATGCCCTTCAATGAAAAATCAAGAAGTCTTTGAATATGTCATCATCTACAGTTCATAATATCAAAATATTTCAAGATGTCTCAGAGTTCTAGGACAAGACTGAAGTCAGTACTGGATGCTCGTGAAATTCAGACCCTCTCTGCATTAAAAATGGGTCTGATTCTGTCCTGGACCGAGGTTTAGTATCGGTCTATACCGATCCGATACCGATCCGATACCAAAAAGCAGTGCTGAATTCTGTTCAACAAACTCATCGTGCTCTTTAGGGTGAAATCTCTGGAGATGCTTGATTAAGTTGTTAGTGTTATAACTGGAAGTTTTAGTGACACCCCTTGGAACCGTCGCTGTGCACGTATTGCACGTAGCTGTCGAGTGTGTTGGCTGAGGTAGTTTGAAATTGTTCCAGATGGCTGATCCTTTCGCTCGCTCCATTTTGAAAACAATCTGTGTGGTGAGTTTGCTAGAGCGTGACGTCACTCAGAGCACAAAGCGTAGAATTAGAGTGAGTAGATCTGCCCAGTCATGGATCGGTCACGTCACGATACCCGATCCAGAAGTTTTTCCCCCCGATATCGGGATCGATATTGGTATCGGATCGGTGCATCTCTATCCTGGACATCACTGCATGGACTCAGGAGCACTTCAGCACGTCGTCTGCAAGCATAGTGCACCGTGCCATCCACAAACTGGTTAAAGCTCCATCATGCAGAGAAGAAGCCGTTTGTGAACTCCATCCAGATTCGCCACCGTCTTCTTTGAGCCAAAGCTCGTTTAGACTGAAGCAAAGTGGAAAACTCTTCTGTGCTCAGACAAATCAAAATTTGAGATTCTTTTTGGAAAAACACACATCACATCCTTGTCTGGAGGTAAAAATGCACCCAGCCTCTTATCAGTGCACCAGTCAAAAGTCTGCCTCTCTGATGGTATAAGGGTGCATTAGTGACCTGGGCTGCTTACACATCTGGAACGGCACCATCAAAGCAGGAAACTATATACTGGTTTTAGAACAACATATCTCCCATCCAGACGTCGTCTTTTCAGCGGAGCCTTGTATATTTCATAAGACGATGCTAAACAACAAAGTCCGTGCTCAATAATCCAGGTATACAATCCAACATTTTTCAGTCAGGTCATCTGGACGTTTTCAACCAGTTTGACATGACTGTCAACAAGGAAGAGTGTAGGAGGGGGGCGTGCCAAACAGACCATCTAGCACTAACCAAACTGGTTTCTTCCACTGTGGAGTAAGCTGCTAGGGGAAGAATCAGTTTTGTTGTGTGTTTCCTTGACTGATGAAGCCTTCTGGATCGAAGGCGAAACGTTTCAGCACAAAAAAAGAAACTGTCCAGATGACCTGACTGAAAAATGTTGGACGATGCTAAACAGCGTTCTGCTTCCATTTCACCTGCATGGCTTCATACTGGAAGAGTCCAGGTGCTGTTCCAGTTTCTGAAACAGTTCATATCTGGACTGTGTTCTATCTTGAATCACATATGGCTTTATGAGATCTGAAAATCATTGCAATCTGTTTGGATTTACTGGGGGGGTAATAGGGTTGTTCTTCCAATTAGATCTAATTGGTTTAGAAATGTAGTTCTCTTTGTAGATGTTTGATTGTTTTTGTTTTTTTTGTGATTACAGACTAAATTACTCAACCGAGAACAAACGGATGAGTGGAAAGGCTGGATGCAGCTCGTCATCCTCATCTATCACATTTCTGGAGCCAGTGCTGTGCGTCTTTAAATATGTCCCCCATTTGCAGATGTACTTCAAAACTGCTAATCTATAAACTGCAGCATACCTTTTGTTTTTAGTTCATTCCAGTGTACATGCATGTGCGGGTGCTGGTTGCAGCGTACCTCTTTCAGACCGGCTACGGACACTTTTCCTTTTTCTGGCTCAAAGGAGACTTTGGACTTTACAGAGTTTGTCAGGTATGGATTAGACTTTGTTATACTTTAACTTTCTTATGCCATAAACTACCTTTTGTCTTGCTGAGTTACAAAGCAAATTAGCTAACGTGTTATCAGCAAGATTTATTAAGTGGATGAGTTGTGTAATTTTATGTGTTTATATTTTAAGGTGCTGTTCCGGCTGAACTTCCTGGTGTTGGTGCTTTGTGTTGTAATGGACAGACCGTACCAGTTTTATTACTTTGTCCCTTTGGTAACATTCTGGTTTGTCCTCATCTACTCCACAATGGCCATGTGGCCTCAGATCCTTCAGAAGAGGACCAACAGTAGGTGTCAAATGTCAGATCTCTTCTTGCATGATTGTCCTGGAGCATGTGAAATTGTACACCTCAGATAAATTTAGCAGAGTTATTGTGATGCCTGTGTGTGACTTCGAGGTCAAGCCATTAATGCGTGTCGTGTTTTCTGGACAGGCAGTGGGATGTGGCATCTTGGGGTTCTGGTGAAGTTACTCAGCCTCCTGTTGTTCATCTGCTCTTTTGCCTTTTCACAGGTGAGTTTATTTACACGACTGCACCAAAATGTAGAGTAGTCCCTCGCTACTTTGCGGTTCGACTTTCGCAGACTCGCTCTATCGCGGTTTTTCAAAATAAGATTGGACATGACACACAATTGTCTGATTGATGGATGAGCCGCACGATCAGCATGGAGTTTTAAATTTAAAATATATTTTAATTTATTTAGCACCTGCTGCATCTGTGTTCAGCCCACAGGCGCAGGGAGAAGCTCCCTCCTGCAGCGTGTCATGATCTCTGCTCACCACCGCCTGCCAGCGATTGCAGCGGAGAAGTGGGCGTGGCCAAGAGCAGAGATCATGCCATTCTGTGCTCTTTTAGAGCCTTTAGAGTTTAGAAACATTGTGTAGAAGATCAGCTGATCAGCTGCAGCAGGAAGTTTATCCTGCAGTAATGGCTGCACAGAGGTGCAGCAGAGGCTAATAATTTAAAATAATTTATTTTAAATAAAAATTCCATGTCGATCATGCGGCTCATCCATCAGCCAGTTGTGTTTTCATGACCAACCTTGTTTTGAAAAACCGCGATAGAGCAAATCCGCGATAAACGAACCACGAAGTAGCGAGGGACTACTGTATATCATATAAATACTAAAATAAACTACTACTTACTACTTGTACTACTATTCCTACTTCGTGGTTTTTTACTTATTGGGGGCTGGGAACGGAACCCCCGTGATAAACGAGGGAGTACTGTAGCTAAATTTAACATGAAGTTTCATTTAAGAGTCACAAATGGGCATCTAGTAGAGGATTAACCACTGAAGTATGTGTTAGAGAGGTTTTTGTTTACCGCCACCAGAAATATGAAACTTGGACTCTCTCCCTCTCTTTAAGGCCAGACTCAAAACCCACCTGTTCACGACTACTTAACCAAGTTTACATGCATATTTGAGTCTTTTTATGTTTTTATATGCATATTTGAGTATTTTTTATGTTTTTATATGCATATTTGAGTACTTTTTATGTTTTTATATGCATATTTGAGTACTTTTTATGTTTTTATATGCATATTTGAGTATTTGTTATGTTTTTATATGTATATTTGAGTACTTTTATGTTTTTATATGCATGTGTTGCTTGTTCTGTGTCCATGAGTGTCAGAAAGGCGCCTCTAAATAAAATGTATTATTATTTTATTTTGTGGGACAGTCATATGTTGTTTCATCTTTTTATTTTAGAGGTTTTTTGAGAACACCTTCTCTGTGTGGCCCACCTCCAAGCTCTTTGAGCTAAATGGAAGCGTTCATGAGTGGTGGTTCAGATGGAAGCTGGACCGATTTGTAAGTCAAATGTTCTTTGACCCCACTCACAGTAAAGTGACTCGGTTACTGTGAGTTACCTGATTCAGGTTAAGATAGCCCTGTTTTTCTGCAGGCAGTGATTCATGGGATGGTGTTTGCCTTCATCTACCTGGTGCTGCAGAAGCGTCAGGTGCTGTCAGAGGGCAAAGGAGATGCTCTCTTCCCTGCAAAGATTTCCAACCTGCTCCTATTCCTCTCTGTTGTCTCCTTTATAGTAAGACACGTTTTATAATTTTGTTTATATGTAATTAAACAGAAAAAGGTGAAATTGATTCTGTGGAAAGCTAAAGAACAATTAGTATGTTACCTGTTGTAGATAAAGTCTGGGAATACCTCAGTTTGTAGAAATAGTTTATTCTGATCAGTCAAGTCAAATTTATTTATAAAGCACGTTTAAAAACAACAGGTTGTTACCAAAATGCTGACTAATGCAAGACAAAGAAAAAAAACAATAAAACAAATTAATTTAAAAGCATCAGAAGAAAATAAACATAGAACAAAGAACAATAAAATACTCAAACAACTCACACTGGGTAAAAAGAAATCAGTGAAAACTGTTGGTTTTTAAAAGATATTTCAAAACAGGAAGTGAAGAGGCCTTTCTGATGTGGAGGGCAGCTTGTTTCAAAGTTTAGGAACCATGCCTGAAAAAGCCTGATCTCCTCTGAGCTTCAACCAAAAGCAGCTGATCAGATGATCTCAGTGCTCGAGAAGGAGCAAGAGGTTCAAGAAGGTCAGAGAAATAAGAGGGAGCAAGGCCATTTAGACATTTTTTAAAATATATTGTGTAACACACAGGGAGTCAGTGAATGGAGGATAAAAGTGGTGAAATGTGCTCAAACCTACGAGTTCCTGTTAAGAGCCGAGCTGCAGCATCTTGGATGAGCTGGAGATGTGAGAGGGAGACCTGACTGACCCCAACATAAAGTTTATTACAGTAATCAAGTCAGGTTGTAATGAAGGCATAGACTATTTTCTCAAGGTCAGATCAGGTCCACACTGACTTAAACTTAGCTATCTGCCTTAACTGGAAGAAACTTTCTGCAAAACAGAGTTTATCTGTTTATTACACTTCAAATCAGAGTCTAATATCATCCCCAGATTTGTAACAGACTGCTTAAGATCCGGCTCAGGAGAGCCAGGGTTCACCAGGAGAGTGTCAGCGGTAGAGCTAGGGCTGAACACAATAACTTCAGTTTTCTTCTTGTTAAAACTTAAAAAGCTTTAAACCATCCATGCCTTAATGTCATCAAGACAGTTTAACAGAGTGGATGGAGCATGAACTATTATTAGATTTTAAGCGTAGATAAATCTGACTGTCATCATCAGCATACAATAAAAAGAAAGTCCATGTTTCCGAGGTCAAGCCAAGATGGCGACGAGACCAGACGTGCATTAAAGACGAAGTCACATCTGTCTGCAACCAAACAAAGAAGACGTCAATTGTCCCCAACAATCATAAAGACAATAAAGGAGCTGTGAGTCATCTCCCCAGACAAAGATTTCAATCAACGTGAGTTCACTATAACGTTACGGGAACCGAAATTACTCCGCTCAAGACCGACTAGCTGAAAGCAGCGTGGCACGACGGCTAACGTGAAAATGGCTAAACTGAAGAATACTAGCGTGGTTCAACTTGCACACATGGAGACTGAAACAGCAAAAGAGAAAAGAACCGCTACAGAAATGCACTCCTATGCTTGCTCGGCTGGGAAAAATGGTGAATGTAGCTCGACGCCCAACACGCCTGAGAAACAGAAAACAAAGAAAGCTAAAAATGAATCGACAACTCAACATGCGGCGCCGACATTATCAGAGCTACAAAACACCATAATGGCAGCAGTCTGTGAGAGAGCAGATCAGTCTGACAAGACTGTACAAGCCCAAATTAATGACTTAAAACAGTCAGTGGAACTCTGCCAGCAAGAAATAACTGATCTGAAAAAAATAAATGCCACGCTGCAAGAACGCTGTCAATTCCTGGATAACAAAGTATCTGAACTGGAGCTCAAAGTCAGTGACGCAGATCGTTACAGCCGCAGACTCGACCTACGATTGTACGGTGTTCCTGAAGGCAACAATGACGATAACATCAAAAAAACTGTCCAAGAAATATGTCAAGAAGTGCTGCCGGAGACCGAAGCGGGCACGGTGCTTTCAGCAATGGACGTCGTTCATCGCATCGGCAGTCTTCGACAACGTGATGGAAAGACCAAACCACCTCCACGACCGGTGATCATCAGATTCCAGAGCAGAACGGCCAGAGATGCGCTGTGGAAAGGATCCAAGAACAACAACTACCTCAAACAAAACAAGCTCAGCTTTAAAGAAGACCTGACCGCTGCAGATAAGGAGATCTGAGGCGAGCTGTGGCCAGCGGTGGAAGAAGCCAGGCAGGCTGGTCGCAAAGCATATTTTGTTGGAAACAGAGCCTATATTGAAGGAAAAGAACTTAAGATATGACAAGGGAAAATATATCTTTCTATATGTTTTAATGAGTTCAAACCTCCACTCTAATGCGAGATGGAGAAGGTGACAATCATACTTTCAAGTGCAGATGTACAAATAATAAGCAGTTACTTGATAGCTTATACAGCGAAGTTCTGCTTTTACTCAGGGAGCTATTGTTTGTGTTAGTTCATGTCTATTTCTGTTTTTTCTGTGAATGCCAGGGGTATTAGAAACGACGTTAAAAGCTTTATTTTTATACTGCCTTAACAAAAATGCTGATTTTTATTTTATACAGGAGACCCATGCTTTGGAAACTGATGTAACGTTTTGGAGAAGTCAGTGGGGTCGTCAGATATGGTTTTCATTTGGAAGTAATAAATCAGCTGGTGTAGCTAAAAAAAAAAAAAGTCCATGTTTCCTCAGGCTAGATCCCAAAGGAAGCGGATACAGTGAAAATAGAAGCCGCCCAATAATCGAGCCCTGTGGAACCCCACAGGAAAGAGGTGCTGAAGTTGTTAAAAAAATTGCCTACGTTAACTAAAAGGTTCTGTCACTCAGATAAGAATGGAACTAATCTAATGCTGCTCTTGTGATCCTAACCCAGTTTTCTAACCACTATATAAGGGTGCTGTGGTCAGCAGTATGAAAAGCAGCAGGAAGGTCCAGCAGAACAAGGATCACAAACTGACCAGAATATTGCCAAAAGAATATGGTTACAAATCCTTACTAGAGCTGTTTTGGTGCTGTGCAGGGTCCAATCGTGGGTAAAAGCTCTTTAAAAAATGATTCAGGGCTAGGGTGAACAGGTGAACCTGAGTGGATCATGTGACCAACAACATCCTTTAAAGATGAGAGAGACATGACACAAACTGAAGACGGGACAAAGATGGAGGGGTCATCTGTAGAGGGAGGAACTGATGAACTAATGCACTCAACCTTTTCAACAAAATATCTGATCAAATGATTACAAGTGTCTGCAGAGGCCTCCATGCTGGCAGACTGAGGCCTGTTTAAAGTGGTGCTCTAAAGAACACGAGGACTGTGACAGTTTGAGGCAAACATTTGGAAGAAATATTTGTTTTTCTCTCATTTAAACGACTGATTTTGATCAGCTGCTCTTAAAACAACTCCACTTGTGAACCCATGTTAAACTCTGAAGTTAGTTTTGCACCACACTGTTTTTTTGCTATAGCAAATAAGTTAAAGCAGCAGCACTTCTGGCAGGATTTTCTTACTTCTACTGGAATAGCCATGTAGAAACTGACAGCTGGTGTAAAGGTTTATAAAACAGAGTGGTTGGAAAGCAGCAGTGATTTATTTTAGTCTTGGTCCTGCTTGGACCACTATTAGTTTGTTAATCCAGTCAGAATTAAACCTTCTTTCCAAACTGTTGTTAAAACAGCTATCCACAACAGGTAATATATTAACTGTTTACATCTTAAAGCTGAAGGCTTTGATACTCTGTACACCTTGGGTTTGTAAAACATTGACCTAGTCTCCTTGTTTTAGACGTATTCAGTTTGGGCGAGCAGCTGCAAAACCAAAGCGGAGTGCAATGAGATGCATCCTTACATCTCTGTGGTCCAGGTACAGCTTCTACTCTTCTTTATCCACAGCTTTCTCTTGGAGACTGCGAGCACGGTCAGAAACACACCCTGCTCGGGGAGACGACATGCTTGATTAGCTGTCAGTCTGCTGAGCGGAGCTGTGACGTGTCCGCCCGCATCAGGTTACAGCACCGTGACAGCAGACTGGTTGTCTTTGTCTGAAAAACAAGAACTGGTTTCTGACGTCTTCCAGAGCATGCTGTGTTTGCAGTGAACTGGGAATTTACACACACTGGTGTAATGTTAGGAGTCCATAATGACATGACAGTGGCCTTCTCCACATGTAAATAATTATTTAAAACTAATCCACTAGTTAAACTGACCCAGTGAATAACTCCAACGTTTCCCTTTACTTACCAATTGCAGCTTCAAATTGTTTAAATCGTATCAAATGTTTTTTGTTCTTTGACGCTTGTCTGTCGTCTGCTTTGACAGATTTTGGCCTTCATTCTTATCAGAAACATTCCAGGCTACGCCCGCTCTATTTATAGCTCATTCTTCTCATGGTTTGGAAAGATCTCCTTGGAGGTAAGTCAGTCTGGCAGCAGAGGCTAACCCAGAGGTGGGCAATATATGGCCCAAGGGCCTAAAGAGGCCCTTGGACAATCTCTGTCCGGCCCTCAATATTCTTAATTGAAAACAAAACAACTTTTTAAAAAGTTGATGAAAGCCTGCATTTTATCAACGAAACTTCGGTCTAAATTAAACATCTTGGACAATTACATCAAAAACGTTTGGATTAAGGAATGTCAAAAACATTTTCCTGAAGTCGTCTTGTTTCCAGAACTACCGTATTTTCCGCCGTACACGTCTCGCCGCCGTATAAGTCGCATCAGTCCAAATATGTCTAATAAAGCGGGAAAAAAACATAAATACGTCACTTCGTCTTATAAGTCACATCTATTGTGCGTCACCGCTGACAACCTGAAAACGTGGGCCGGTGTTGTGCCGAACATTGATTGGCTGCCAAATGGTGGTCGCGGAAGCGTGCACGGGAGGACTTTAACAAGAATGTAACAAGATTAACGTTTAAAAACAATTATTTGTTTGCTTGAAATTATAGTAAAGGTGTGTCTCAGTTGAACTTTTCCTTAATAAATGCACTTCAATGGTCAAATCAGCTGCAGTTCTCCTGGGCGGTGAAATGCAGCTGATTTGACGTTTGCTCCAGGAGTTCCTGAGCGAGACGAAGGTGTCTTGGTACGGCAAGCCAAGTGTCTCATTAATAGCCACTTGGAACTATTAATGAGACTCCTGGCTTGCCATATTGGTCGAGGGCCCTCTAGTGGCTGAAAATGGTAGTGTTCAATATTTTCCATGTCAGAATGAATGAAATCGTCAGATCTCAGCCAAAAATTGGATTATGAATATGGGGGGGGGGGGGGGGACTGTGACTTATACAGTGAAAATTACAGTACATCAAAAACTTTCAGATTAAGAAACGTCAAAAACATTTTCCTTAAGTTGTTCTGTTTCCAGAACTACGTGGAACCTTAAATGCTCCAAAGAGCAAGCATATGGTGGTGTTGTTTTTTACATATTTGAGCTAATTAAATATTGCCTCGAGCCAGTTTACAAAGAATATGTCTTACTCTTCTAGAATTGAAGACATATTTTTATCAAGCATGCCAACTTCTCTCCAACAAGATAAAGCCTGAAATAGATTCCAGATTGCCTGTCTTAAAGAAAATCTATTTACTGTTTCTCCGTGTGGCCCTTCGGTTGTTTTAAATACCTTGATTTGGCTCTCTGGAAAAAATGTAGCCCACCTCTGGGCTAATCTATGCAAGAATCTGGAATTTGATCAGCTGACAACTCAAGACATGTTTGACCATGCCTGCTTTGTCTCCCCCAGCTGTTCATTTGTCAGTACCACATCTGGCTTGCAGCAGACACCAAGGGAATTTTGGTCCTCATCCCAGGAAACCCTTCACTCAACATCCTGGTGAGCACCTTCATCTTCGTTTGCGTGGCACACGAGGTTTCCCTCATCACCAACGACCTGGCCCAGGTGGTCATCCCAAAAGACGGCATGGCCCTGCTGCGGAGACTGGGGGCGGTGGGGGTCTTCAGTCTGCTTGTGCTGCTGTGGAGTGAGGGGAACCAGCTCACGCCTGGAACTTGATGGACACCCCATGATGGAGGATGATGATTAGTCTGTGGAAACTGAAGTGTGGTACAGAATCGAGTCTACTGGTGGTCACGAGCAGAACCATAGTAACCAGTGGGGGGACGCTGTCGGCCTTTATTATTTGACTGCTACAACCCACATAAAGTGATAAAAAGGTCTGAAACGGGGCGTGGATCTTTTGAGGGTCGTGTGCAAAATACAAAACAGTAAGACCGAATAAAACCACTGAAATGTTTACATGCGTGTAGATTTGGAAGAGTTGCTCTTGTTTCAGGGCGCCATGTCTGCAGTTCAGGCATGGCGTCTCTTCAGCCCAACACTGACAGGAAGCTGGTTTGATCATGTGTTCCTGTCATCCCTCATCTGTGGCAGAAATCCCTCCGTCCACAAAACTTTAGCTGGATCAGCATATTTAGATGTTTCCTCTTTTTACAACAAACTAAATTGTGCTGCGTTTTACCATTAGTTCTAATTTACGCAACTATTGGCTGATTTAAAACAAACCGTAAAGACTAAATTGTAATTTGGAGCGCAGCAGAACAAATATTGAGAAACCTCCCTCCTCCCTTCCTGTACTTTTTATTGTCATTTACAAAACGTCTGCCCTGCAGAAAGAAAGGCTCTGCGGTCACCTGCTGGCGCTCTGAAATGACACGACGTGTACAGTATTTAATGATTTAAATTAAGCGTATATTTTATACAGTTTGGGGCTTTGTTTTGTACCGTTTGCATCCATAACTGCTGTTTGTGAAGAAGTTGCATAGTTCGTTTTGTAGCCAGAGTCTCCGATGGGCTCGAGCCTGTTCGTCTAGTCTCTCTCGTTAGCGGCACCCTTTGTTGTACGTATGTAAATATATATAAATTTATATATATTTGTATGATAGAATGAAAACTGTATTTTGTACAGCGTCACCCGTTCAGTTCAAACACGCCTCGTATTTTTGGTGGGAAATGCTCCGTGTTGCACATACTGAAGGAGGAACAGCTAAATGTCCACCCAGCTGGTGAAACGTTGAGCACTGGGGAAGGGACTGGTTTTATGAATACCTTCCTTTTTATTTTACCCCCTCATGCTGATCGGTACATCTTCAGGTAGCTGCGCTCAATCTTCCATGTTTAGGCACTTTGCAGTAGAGCCACGTCGGTTTAAAACTTGGTAATGCACTGAATGAGCCGAGAGGATTTATTGTAATTTTAAGATAAAACAGTTATTTTTGTTCTTTTGCCAAGTGGACAACGTCTCCGTTTATACTGGGACATTCAGGAGAGCACTTTTATTTTGACACCTGCATTTTAAAGTTTTTTTTTCCATCTCTGAGGTGGAGCGTGGTGTTTAACACGGTTTGGTTTGGCACATTTTTACTGTGTAAACCAGATATTTTGTCAAGGACGTTTTTGCTGATACAAAACAATAAAAATATTGTATAATAAAACTGTGTTGCTTATAAAATTTGACTCTACCGTTCGGGTAGTAAAACATTGTGGCGTAAATCATTTATTTATGAGTTTCCTCTTGTTTCTTGGAGACGATGACACAGACTTGTCATTTCTCGTGCTCAGCTCACTGTGTAGATAAACTTCCATGTTGCTGTTTGACCTTGGACGTAGTTTACTGATTTGTTCTGATCAGTAATTTGGACCTGAAGCGATCGCTTTGGTTGTGTAAAAGCAACATATATCCTTGTTCTCTTGGAATAATTTACATGTTTTTTTGTGATGTCTTACAAAGTGTGGCTCTGTATTCATATTTATAAATGCCTTTATTCTGTTGTACATTGTTAAAATACTTCCAAAGAATGATCTGGGCTTTTCCATTATTTTATTTTTTTTACAAGAAAATCTGACATTGTCTTGAATGTTAATTAAAAAGAAAGCAGGTATAATATAGCTTTAAAAAGATTTTATTGTTATTGTATGGCACATTACATAAAACATGACACTCTTTCACTTTAGGTCCATTGTGCAAAGCAAGTAAAAATAATCTTTTTTTTTTTTAAACGTACACAAATATTCCAAAATTATAATAATTACCTTGTTCTCTTATATTCTCACTAATAAAGGTTTAAGTGCATATGAATGATAAAACCTTACTCGTGAGACATGCAGATTGGCACAGATGTTAGAAAACACAGACGGTTGGAAGATGGTGCTCGACTCTGGTGCTTCTGGTCATAAATTTAGAGCTTCAGCCACCTTTCTTTCCTCAGGAATACCATTTACCTGCAGTAAATGAAGGATAAGAGTAAACGGCTGCAACTTAATTTTAATGCTCTGTTTAAAAGAAGAGATTTGTTGAAAAAAGCCGGACGTGGTAAAGAATCATATTTGGATCCTCTAAACACGAACATACTGCTGCACCTACCTCCAGTCTTCGAAATGTCGACATGACATAATTATCTCCTTTGTTAGCATTGAACAGAAAAAGCAGGTTGTTAGTGCATCGTGCAGTTGATTGCTTTGGCCACCAGAGGGCGCGCGCACACAGAAAACAGTTTGTTGTTCTTCCCCTACAGATTCTGAGGAAAATAATAGGAACTCATGCTCCTTAAACAGAAACAACCAATTTTATGAAAGATTACCAATTATTATTCTTTGTGCCGCAACTCTCAAAGTGATGCTGTCTTAAATTAACTCAATGTACGAGGCTAAAGCTGCACTCGACATAATTAATTTTGTTGACCCCCACCCCACACTTTTTATCCATTTACAGAAGTCACTTTAAGTAAAAAAAAAAAAAAATTCCTATAGTGATGACAAAAATGTTGACAAAATGACAAAAAAGTCAACTTAATTATCATAATTGATATTAGCTGAATACCTAATTTAAGTCTGGTCCGGATTAAAAAATATATATATATATATATTTTTTGTTTATTTTTTATTTATTTGTTTTACTTTTGTTGTTTTTATTAATTTTATTTATTTGCTTTTCTGTTGTTGTCTTTATATTTTTGTTTATCTGTTATATTTATTTTATTATTAATTAATTTATTTGTTTTTCTGTAGTTTTTTTATTTGTTTTATTATTAATTATTTTATGTATTTGTTTTCTGTTGTTGTTTTTTATTATTTGTTTTTATTAAATTTATTTATTTGTTTGTTTATATTTTGTTTTTATTTATTTGTTTTCATTATTAATTTTATTTGTTTTTCTGTTGCTTTTTTAATGTGTTTTTTATTAATGATAGTTTTATGAATTTATTTTTCTGTTGTTTTTATTATTTGTTTGTTTTATTATTAATAATTTAATTTATTAGTTTATATGTTGTTTTTATTTGTTTCATTATTAATAGTTTTATTTATTTATTTTTCTGTAGTTTATTATTTATTTGTTTTTATTATTAATACTTTTATTTATATATTTGTTTTCTGTTGTGTTTTTTTATTTTTTTATTTGTTTTTCTGTTGTTTTTATTTATTTGTTTATATTATTAATAGTTTTATTTGTTTATTTATGTTTCTGTTGTTTGTTCATTATTAAGTTTGTTTTATTATCAATAGTTTTTCGTTTATATGTTGTTGTTTTTTATTATTTGTTTGTTTTTCTGTTGTTTTTATTTGTTTTTATTATTAATATTTTTATTTATTTGTTTTTCTGTTGTTTTTAATATTTATTTGTTTGTTTTTGTTATTAATAATTTTATTTATTTATTTGTTTTTCTGTGGTTGTTTTTATTATTTATTTGTTTGTTTTTATTATTAATAATTTTATTTAATAATTTTTTTTTTATCCGTCCAGAGGACCTGACTTAATCATTTTTCTACCTGGATTATTGATTGCTGAGCATGAATCAGGATGTTCTACTGAATATTTTTAGATAAACTGTAGTTTCATTTCTGCAGAACTACAGAACATCAGTAATGTTGCTCTTTTCTAAATATGACCAAATTCCAGCCATATTTCCTAAACCTCAATATTTTCAAACAAAGTCAAGGAAAAGTGTTTACGGATAGTCCAGCTTTTATTTATTTATTTGTTTTAGACTTTTCAGCTCCTAGTCTGGAAGCTTACCTTGCTTAAACGAATGCAGAAGGAACAGCTTGTGAGCCAAACAGCCAAGCTTCTAAACATCTTTTCTTTTATAAAATTATTGTGTGATCAGGTTGTCAGCCTGGTAAATAGTGTCATTTCATTGTGCTGGTAATAAACTTGCACCTGCAAACATGCTTTTCTGAGTCAAATTAAAAGTAGGTAAATAAAATAAACAGCAGGATGAACAGCATGCAGATTCTGTCATGCATGTTTGTTTCACATCGACTGACACGTGTACTAAAATTAAATCAAATAACAAACACTAACCTGTTGGCCTTTGTTGTGGAATTGTTATCTGGTTTTGCAGATTCCTGAAACAGTGGACGACGGTTACAGTGGGAACAAAAAACACAAATATCTAGTACTTTTAAAAATATTAATTATTTATTATCAGTTCTGAAGCTCACTTCTGTAGAAAACAACATGGCGGGAAGTCGTTTTGTTTTGGATCATATGAACAACAAAGACCGTTCTAAACCTCTCATCAGTGATTAACGAGACTGAGCTTTGCTGTTTGATCCCATAAAAAATAAAATGTTTTACTCACGCCTGTGTCTGCATAAGAGGCATGCTGGTGGTCTCGTAGTTGTCGGGGTGGATGGGCGGCACCACCTCCCCGCTGACTGGGTTGAAGACGGGCAGGGTGGAGAGAGGCCAGGAGATCTCGCGGTTCTTGGACATGCTCCTCAGCTCCTTGGTGGATTTCTGGATAGAGCTGTGATGCACCAGCTGGATGCTGGAGGATGGAGAAGACGTGAGTTGGTGCTGAAGCATTTTCCAGCAGAAACTGATCTGAACACGTGAGGTCTGCATTTTATCTGAGCATGCCCATTATGAACACATCTGTCCTACTGCTGCTTGTTTGATCCGTTTCATTTAGGGAGTTCATCTTCCACATTTATTCATGTACAAAGCTCTTTATTCCTGTTAAGCTGGTCATTAAATTTATCAGCAGCCCAATGAATGAATGAATGAATGTCAACAAACATATGAGCATATGAATGGAAAGAAAAGAGTCGTCAACATAAAAGAGAACGAAAATCGACCCAGAAAATAAACAAATAAACAAAAAACACAGGAGAGATAAAACACTTACGCTGGTGTTTGCATGTTTCTTTTTGCCCTAGAAGCAAAACAAAATGAATGAATTAAATATTAATATTAATAATTAAAGCAACATCTACACACAGGTGAATGAACTGCTGCATAAAGTCGGGTGGGGATGGGGTGGAGCGTTAAAGGGGGCACTTCTCTCCCAGCCTGAAAACGATGTAAGGATGGGGATGAACGACGTTTAGTTTCGTGGTTCAAAATGTAATAAAAACAACACAAAAGACAAACATAATGAAGAACTGAATGTAAATGGACACACTGGATGGATGGTAATGAAAAGCTGCAGTTCCAGATTTTGAAGTTTGGGTTTTGAATGGTGTCTGATTATCCAGCTCCTAATGTCTCTGCTGTCATTTC